TGTCCACGAGATTCAGTTCTACCTAACGGGCTAAGAATAAAACAGATATATACACCGTCCATCTCATACAACAGACATTACAAGGCACATCCTCCCCTACCTATGGGCAGTAATGAAAGTGGTGAAGGTGGGCACGATATAAGTCATGGTCAGTTTTGGGGATAAGGACCACCTCTTAAGAATGACAGCTACAAAAGGAAGGAAACTAGGTCCCCAGCTGTGAAGCTCTTTACATCCACGGTGCTGTGCAAGGGGAAAAATACATTGTTTTCTTTAAGGAACAGTTATTTTGGTTTTTGTTATGGGAGAGAGAACTTTATCCTTACTGAGATGTAGAAGGGGACACTGGGAAAGAAATGAATAGTGAACTCTCAAAGCTGGAAAGTAGAAGAAATGATCTAATGGTACCTAGGCAAAAAAAGGCCAGAAGATGTTCTTAAAAAAAAAAAATCAATGATGGCTCAGCAGGTAAGAGCACTTGCTGCTTTTCTGGAGTCACAAGTTCAGTTCCCACCTTCCACATGGGAGGTTCGTAAACCCCTGTAACTCCAGTTCCAGGGGATCCAGTGCTCTCTTCTGGCTCCATGGGCACCGTATACACAGTCATGTACACACACACACACACACACACACACACACACACACCAACACTTGCTCTCTCTCTCTTTCTCTCTCCCTCTCTCTCAGAAATCCACAGTCTTATCACCCTCATCATGATTTTAGTCTAGCCCTTACTCATGGCAAAACCAGCCTTTCAGATGTGAGCCTTAGCCTTTAATGGATGAGCCATCTTTTGAACCTGAAGGACATAGTTTTAATTTTGCAGTAGATTTAAGTTTATTGCAGGTAAGGTAAGGAGATTTTCCTTCCTGCGTTTATGACAACCCTGTGCTTTAATTAGGTCCAGGAAGGCTCTTAACTGTTCGTGGGCTTACATAACTGCTTTCAACTATGACAGGGAAATTTAAAGCGTTGTCCAATAACTAAGGGTTGATTATTTGCATTTTAAAGGGATTCCTTCAAATCCTGAAGCATTTTAGTGGCCAGGTAAACACAACCCTATGTAGTAGACAGCTAGGGAGAAGAAAGTTGACTTCATACAAGTCACTGGAATGGTTATGTATGTATGTCAGGAAGGAGAAAAAATAAATAAATAAATAAATAGGTTAACTGAGCCTTTGCAGGGAAATTCGAAATACAGATTTTTGCAGCACTGTACAATAATGAGTGGACTTAAGTGAGTGGAGGGATGAGGTTGTTAAGTCTTGGTCCTATAGCAACATAGCCAATAGAGAGCTCTGAGAACAGCCTTTGAGATCCCCTAACCCAGCCTGGGTCTATCTGCTGTCAGAGCTGTGGCAGCTGCATAGTTAACCCTAACAGCTAGGTATATATGCCAAACAAAATCCTCTTGGTCTTCAGCAGGAACTAAGAAAGCAAAATAAGTAACTCCCTGTTCTCCCACGGTGCCAATTATAGCTGTGCACAGAATGAAATTTCTTACTTGCATTGCCCATAAAGTTTATAAAACTTCATGTTCACTCTTCCCTGGCCCGTCGTGGGTTTTTTAAGTGGCACTTTTACAGTTTGCCTTGGCTTAGGGTGAAGCATTTGCAGGGACTTCAAATTCCTGAAGTCCTGGCCCCCCTGGGCCATCTTCACCTTTTCCTAATTCATAGCTCACTGTGTGGCTTGTGTGCATACATGGGAAATGTCTGAAGATATCCTAGCTGGTGAAATGTTTTAGAAGCAAGGATCCATGGGACAGAAAATTAAACAAGCAAAATATACAGAAAATGAGTGGAGAACGGGTTATAGAAGTAGCAGTCAAATGTTAGGTTCTTGCGGTTGTTACGTGTGTGATTGGATAATATTTGGATTTTATGGGATGGAAAAAGGTGTGTACCAAGAATCCAGGAAGTGTTCAGATGTTAAGAGATGCAGATTCAGCCAGGTGGTGGTGGCACACGCCTTTAATCCCAGCACTGGGGAGGCAGAGGCAGGCGAATCTCTGTGAATTAATGGCAAAGTGAAGGGCAAAGATTTTGAGAGCCAACCTCTATCTAGAGGTCCCTTTTGTACTACTGAGCACTGTCTGTTGTTCGAAGGAACAGCAGAAGGAATCAGTATCCTTCACTGTAGGAAAAGCATCATCATTGGGGGCCACACAATGATAGAGTAGGAACCTTCTGGATTTGTGCTTAGACATGGAAACGTGCTCTTTTGCCAAACACTGGCTTAAATGTCAAAGAAAAATTAAAGCTATTGATATATTACCATCTAGTAAATTGCTTTTCTAATGACACAGTTAATATGAGGATAAACCATGTCCACAGGGAATCCTCCTTCTCCACTCTTAACCACGGGGTTTACTAGTTTAATGATGACATAGCAACATTGGGCGTTTTAATACAACATTTAGAGAGTGCTCTAGCTTTAAGAGGGGGAGTTGCTAGCTTGCTATGAAGGCACATGGGTCTCGATGTTGCATTAGCCTCATGCATATTCATGAAAACCACACTAAGCAGAAAAATAAGTAAATATTCTGTTACCTAAAATTAACCTCCAGTGACTTAAAGTAGTCACAGTCATTTCATGTGGAAGCAGGGTCTAAACAGCATTTACCTTTGGGTCTTTCTCTTTGAAAATACTATTATTGATTAATCTTTTCCAGTAACTTCTTGGGTTTCAGTTGGCCTTCAAACACATTTAAAAATCAAGTGATCTCAATTTCTTGTGATGGGATTCCCAAACCACAATTCTTCCCCCAATAGTTATTTGATATCAAGCTTTCATTTGGCTATGGAGTTTGTGTTTTAAGAGTGCCTTTGAACAATTCTTGTGAGTGATGTTATATTGCCTCATGGCATTTAGTGTTACAGAGATTTAATTTATTTCTGGAAAAACTGTAATCAAAAATATACTATCAAATATCATTAAATAAGTAAGTGTCAACAAAGCAATCAAATTACTTCTAATTTCATTATAACAAGTCAAGTTAATCAGCTTATTTTATACTAATGAATATGTCATTTAAGAGCTTTAAAGCTAAACTCCTTATCATAAAGAAAAAAAAATTGTTTTAAAGAGCCTTCATAAGAAAATCCTGAATAATCAATTTAATTCCCTGAATGGACAGGCTAAAATGGCTTTAATGGTAGAGTTTTCTAAGCTTCCAAAAATCTTTCCTGAACCATCCTTAAAGTTCAGAGATGCTTTAGGCTGACACTTTGCTGGTGATCCATCTCTTCAGAGCATGGCTGCAATGGAGACCCCGGAAACTGCTAAAAGATCAGGGGGGCCTCTTGGGAAGTCATGACCCTGGGGAGGTGCTGGTTTACAGAGTGTGAAGCAAGCAATTCCCCAGCTGTACCCAGGAAACAATGCTGCCAATGCCCATGCTGGGAACCAGAGAAAAAGTCACTCAGAAGGATGATCGGACACCACCACAGCAGAACCACAGATAGTCTGGTCTGGTTTCTGTGAGTGTGGGGGCAGGGTGTGCTTTAATTCAGCATGCAGTTCAAGATTTCTATGGATTTGTTAAAACAAAACCCTTTCTGGGTTTTTGTTTGTTTGCTTTTGGACCATTTTAAGGCTTCAGAGATAATTCATTAAGAAGTACACTGAAAATCCGAGTAGAAAATTCCTAAGTAAAGGCTGCGTGTTCGGAACTCCCTGCCAGGGGCTCGGCAGCCCAGTGAGGCTGTGGAGATGCAGTGACCCGGCAATGAAGCAGAAGTCATATCAGATCAGGAAGAGGAACTGCACTCGTCTAGTCTCAGCAAGACTGTTCCCTGGAAGTTAATTTAGGTTATGATACCTGGGGTGAGAATGCAGATTTGGGGACATTTTTCAGGATTTCCTTTTCATAATATGACCAATAAGCTACTTTCTCAAAATCGATTCTTAAGTTTTTAAATTCCTGATACCTAATTGTTCATATTTAAGACTTGTAAACTCAGTGTCTACGTGGCATGATGATCTAGTTGGAGTACCTCTCCGGGGCATCCCTGGAAACGACTGTGTCTTTGTGTTAGAGCCATCCAGAGTCCTCCACATTCATGGTGAAGGGTAGTTATGTGTCAACCATGCGACCCTGCTGTGTTGTGGGTCCGTCTCTGCCTCGCTTTATCTTCACCGTGAGTCTTCAGCTTTTACACACTGAGCATTTCTTTCTCAGATGGCTTTGCAATAGCAACCCAGGTTGCCCTCAGAACTCGCAATCCTCTTGCGTTGGCCTCACAGACTGGGATTATAGGTATGGACCTTTCTGATAAACAGTGCTAAAGTCTCTCTCTCTCTCTCTCTCTCTCTCTCTCTCTCTCTCTCTCTCTCT